CCCACAAAAAGTAACTTTATTCGAAAAAGTAATGCACAGATCCCAATGTATCAACCTGAAATTACTATAAATAGCGGGCCCATGACATTTGTACGGGGATCTCTCTCCGAACTGAAAAAACTTTACTAAGCAACACGTAAAAGCCCATCACGGCTCTTCACCTCGGACCGAGGCCATTGTCGATTTAATCTTACATGCTTTACGTCCAAATCATTCAAAATTATCCACCTAATCACAAGATACATCGTTGTTAAAAATCACATAACAACATGCTTTTTCCTACAGGGTTTTGCAGCGAGGTTTTTAACGAGGCATAGACATGATGTGGTAATGTCCAAGGGGGAGTGTTGTAAATATTAATTTATGGACATTACCTAGATATAGGATTTGTAGGTATGGGCTAGGAGCCCATTAGGTGTTTAGTCATGTACATTGTATTCCCTTATATATAGGGCTCAAGTGAATGAATAAGATGAGGGTTTTGACGGCGTATCTCTTCTCTCTTTTTCTCTTTTACTACTTTCTCTCTTTGTCTATCTTGTCTATCTCACATATTGACAATCTATATTACAAAACTAGATTGGACCCGGCTGTGCACGCACAGCCGGCCCTAGTCCAGTCTATAATTATATTTATTTTGTGTAAAAATATTTAAAACACATACCCACATTTTATGGAGCAACCAAAATGCCACATATTTTATTGTTTGTTTAAATTGTTTTTCACAAATATTTTTTTTTTCAACAATTTTTTGACCACTCTTTTGACTCATTTGTTTGTAACATTTAAACAAATTTCTCAAAATAATTTATACTCTAAACCATTCTCATTCCTCAATTTATTTTGTAGGTGTACCATAAAATTGCCAATTTTGATACCCTATGTTTTATTAGGTTCTTATAAAAAGTGGCCCAATTTGTTTGGTGGCTTATTTTGGCCCAATATGTATACATATATAGAAATGCCGTAACGTGTCTGCTTTGTCAAAGGTCTTCTCCTCGTATTCTCCGTTTCTCCGTTCATCAGTTCTCCCTAAAATCATGTGCGATTGTTAAAAAACGGCGACCATTACCATCTGTTTTTTATTGGCAATTTTTTGTTTAAAAGAGTCGGCGATTTGAGGTAAAGTGGCTGTCGTCGCTCCTTTTTTTTTTGGTTCTTCGCTAATGAACTTCTGTTTTAATCCATAATTTGAGGTAAAGCCGGACCCAATTTAACAAGTAATTAAGCGTAAAATTTGAGCACACACAGCCAAACTCGGTTTAATCCATAATTAAGTATACAATTTGAGTATTAAGTAACTAATTCAATTACTATAATAAGAATAACCGAAACAATGATAAATGTTTGTAGATGTTTTTGCTTTCACACACATTAATAATTTTACAATGCCCAACTGGTAGTCTAAAGTGAGAAATAAGCACAAAAACGTGTGATGAGAAATGAGGCTTTAAGAATGGAGAAACAATGCCCAACCGGGACAAACTTAAAACAAGGCAAAAACATTTCATGATCCTGTGAAAGAGGAAAAGATGAGAGCTTGAAACCAAACACAACCCTTAATTTCACATCACCAAACATAACAAATTACCACAAAATGAAGTTACACGAAAGCCAACTCAAAAAATTACACTAAATCAACACACACACAAAGACATGTCTGCACCTTTGTATCAGAACTGAATGAAGAAGTAATACGTGATAAGGCATCCAACATAACAGGGGAGCCAGCTCCTTGTGCGGAGTTAGATCCAACCTCCTCGTGATCAAACAAAGCCACCATTCTTATCCCTCTCGTCCTCCAGACTTTTTTCAGCGCAAGTTGAATATATCAGTGCCTGAAATGAAATATAACAATTAATTGTAAATAAGTCTATATCTGTTTTGGTGGGAAAGTGACTAATATTTCGCAAATAGCGAAGGAAACTTCCTATCATGTTTGTACTAATTTGATTGCGACATTCGAGGTTCCGTTGGGACTACAGTCTATTTCCATGAAAACATAAACTAAAAAAAAAAAGTAAATAATGCATTTTTTACTATGCTGCAGATTATGTGACATAATCGACTAAGAATTTGTAGATTGTTTCAACTACTCAAACACGAATACGCACCTTGAAAGACCAAAATGACATACAGAGGTTATCTAATCTTCCAGATAAAAAAAAACTCCTTCAAGGCCCAGCTATGACACTTTTTTGGGTGTCACACGCTTGCAACTCGAAATCACATATTGCACTCGGTTCGCACCCAAGCTGAGTGGCAATCAGTTAAAATTACGAGGAACAAACAATAGAATCAGTATATGGAGCACAAAAATTGTAGTGATCTAATATGTAACAACTTTCTAGGACAAAAAAAAATGCAATCTCGAAGAGTTAAAAAAAAAACAAAATAAAAGGAGGGGAAACATAAATTTTAAAGGGAGGCCAAGAAAAATGAAGAAATATTGAATTTACAAAATTAACTTACCTGCAGAAGGGGATGGTGCTTTTGGTTGTTAGTTGTCCTTCCATCAGCTTTCTTCCACTGCAGTCGACCCACTTTCAATGGAACAATCCCCGGCAGCTTGTTTATTCAGCTCAGCCTGTACAACAGATGTAAAATGGATTTTAAAAGTATAAGATTCAAACTACAATCTTTATTCGATAAAAAGCCCGTATGGTTTGGTCCTCTTACGTATAATCTCAAGAAATGGATAAACAGTAGTACTGAATAATGTAGGGATTCCATAAATTAATATGTCTGTGTGTGTGTGTGTGTATATAAGTAATAATATGTATTTGGCTCAAAAAAAGGAAGAAAAAAAAAAGCAAGTACAGTGCTAGTCACTCTTGAATTTACCTTAACTGATGTAGCCAACACCGGAGCAAGGTGAGTTTGTTTGTTAACCTTAAAACCATCATTTACCTCTCTATCCAATAAATACAAACAATATAACAAAATTACTACACACAAAAACAGTGAATTTATGCAGATCAAATGAAGCAACATAAGATTTTCTAGAAAAGGGACCTGTCCAAGTGGATCGCCAAAGTCGGGACCCACATAATAGGCTCCTCAATTCTGACAAGGCGGTGAGAGAATGACTCCAATTCATCTTTCTTCTCTCTAACTATCACTCTTCCAGCAACAGCCAGATCACGATCGAACCACGTGTGCCACAGCCCACCTCCATAAGGTTGCACACCAACTTCAAGATACCCACCTTTTGTAACCTGAAAAAACAAACATCACTATTCAGACCACAATCTTTCTAACAAAAGTATTAATGTTAACCATGTTAAAGGTAGATTAATCTCCTTTGTAATGGGCTTCAGCTTTAAACAGGGACTGTCGGTATGCACGCCAATGATGTAAACCCCATTCCCAGCAGTGTATCTATTTTGAACAATCAATCACATTATAAGCTCGAATCATGTCAAGAAATTCTTGCAATGCGTAAACTGGCCATTTCATATAATTATATTAAAATTTTTAACAAGCTTCAAAATTCTCGCTCTTTCGTTTCAGCAATACTACATACTGAAAAATATATGTTTCGCACAAAGATTCAAACTTTAAATCCTTAGAATTTGAACTTTTCGCTTATCATTTCAATTGCTAATATCAAGGTGATTGATTCGACAAATGCAGAATCGACAAGAACTACACCAACAAAATTTCTAATAAACTACACAAAAGTATCCACATAATATCCCAATCATTCTAACTACAAGCATTCAATAACCACAATAAATTAAATTTCTCTTTTTTTTAGTTGAATTCATAAAAGTCGAAATCTTAACCTACCAGCCATTCCTTGTGCCACCCGTCCTGTTTCAGCCTCTTGACGGCCACAACCATACCCGAGCAGGGCCGTGATGCCGCCAGTGTGCTCTCGTCAACCCAACCTTTGTAAACCGAGTCGAAGCCTCCCTCTCCTAAGACGCTGTCCGGCCGAAAGTTTTTGGTGTCTGCCCTATGATCTCTAAAGTTGAAGCTTTTAAAGTTTTTGGCGGCTGTTGGCTGTCATCGACTCGGAGGGGAACGACAAGAGGGTGGAATTTGGATCTAAGGCGAGCGACCATGAAGACTCGGCTTGGAGTCCAGCATGATGGCTTTGTTTGCAATGATTGGCAGCCTCTCGGACCTAGACCTAACTAACAAATGCAACCAAAAAATTCAATTGTAGAATATGATTTTCTAAAATTAGGGCGCAACTTCACTCCTTCAACTTACCTGGAGGATTTCATCGACTATCTAATTGAACTCGAAGTTGGAGTCATTGTATGTAGTGTCCGCCACCTCACTACTCGTCGATCACCGCTCACCTGTCCCACTTGTCGTGCCTCCGCCTCAC